GACTTCCAGTGGATTTTTATAGGGCTAAAAAGTGGATAAATTACAGAAGTTGTGTCCTGAGGTTTCTGTTCCATGGATTTATTATCCATTTTTGGTTAACTATGCAAGGTGGGCTTTGAGGTCTGTGTTCATAGTTGGTTGTTGTTCCAAGCTCAATACTGGTTCTTATATAGATCTGTAAAGTCACAATTTTCTCTGTGGCCATCCAAGTTTTATCCTGAGTTGAACCCTGATGAATGGTGGGATGCCTCTAAAACATATTGCCTGTTTTGTTACCAAAAATTAAAATTATTTTGTAGTCCTTCAACTGGTTTTGGTCCGGTACCCATCGAGGAAAGCCTTGCTGTGAGGGAGCTGCTTTGCCAGAGCTATTGAGCCTTTTTTTTCTCTTGTTTTCCTTTGTCTGACTAGCTATGCAAGTCTAAAAGTTCTCATCACATCTTTGAGTATGTTGTTCTTTAGCAAAGGGCCATGGCTGTCAATGCCAGCAGTTCTAAAAAAACAAACACTGCCAGGACCCACTGCAGCTTACACCAAGCACTGTTTTAATTGGTGCTGGAAGAGTGAAATTGTAATGCAGGGCAATAGAAAAAAAGATTAAAAGAAAAAGAACAAATGCTATTAAAATGATGTAAGGTGAAGTCTCCTATGCTAAACTTCAAGAAGGTAAAACACGATTAAATGGGACACAGATCAATTAAAAACTGACTGCTAGATACACAAGAGAAATTTCCGAAAATTTGGTCCCTATGGATAGCCTACTCCAAATCTAACCCTGGAACCTTGAATATATAGCCATAGGTCAACCCCTGGGAATGGGAGGTTTTCCCTTGCCCTCTACATCTCTTTTCCTCCCTCCCTCATTGCTCATGCTTCTCTTTTCTCTCTCTCCTTCCGTTCTCTCATACACATTCTTTTCCTTATGCCTCTGACACTGCCTTTGGGTAGTGCAACAATAGTATACTTGTACTTTAAAATTAGCTTTGGTTCTTTACAATTCGTTCTTTATCATACATTAATGGGCACACACAGACGTCTCTTGTTCTGGACTAATTTATGCTATAGCTCCTACAATTGGAAAGATATTAGATCCTTAGACCAGCTGTAATCTATTAGGTTATGAGTCAAGGATCATTTTTTTTATTTGTACCTTATTATAATTGCCTTGTGGATCTTGAGTTGGCATTGCACAGTCTAATTCAGTGTATGTGTATGTTCTTGTCTGCATCATTCACTTTGTACTTGTTAAAACTTCATTAAAAACTTTTGAGCAAGAAAAAAATATTAAAAATTAGCAAACCTGTGAATATAGTTGCAAGCCCTTCCCCCCCACCTACCAGTCCAGCCTCTGCAGTTAGTCTATATTTACTTGTACCATGAAGAAAGGACAATTATACTTGGGGCTGGGCTAAAGCTTAGGCAGAAGAGGTGGATGTCTTGGGAGCTTCAGCAGGAGGGGGTGTAAAAAGGGCAGGACCTGCTGAAATAGTTCAAAACTCTTGGGGGGAGCACTTTGGCCCATTCTGCTTGGGCCCTAGGAGACCCTGTCCCTGCACTGTTTATTGTCAGGATTGAAGCAGTGTTTACCATTAATACATCTGCCAACCTGAAGACAGGAAATGTGCAGATAGACCCTTAATTTCTGTGGCCAACCCCAGCCTGGGCCCAACTCATGCACAGAAACCCAAAGGGGTGCAGCAGATGATAATGTCTTCACCAAAACCTTTAAGGCAAAATTAGTACAAAATACAGAAATATTGGCCAGTTTTTAAATGACTAAGTTTGAATCTGGTGCAGGCTGTTTTAAAGGATAATTTCACCTTTAGGAACATGTTACATGTTCCACCCGTTTTTAGGGTGGAACATGTAACATGTTCCCATAGCTGCAGCTGCGCCCGCCACCCCCCCTCCCCCCCTCTGACAGATAGTACGGGGAGAAGTTTCCCATACTATCTGTCAGCTTGAAAACAGCGAGGCCGCATGGCTGCGTCACTCATTCACAGAGTTCTGGGAATGAGTGCCTACAAGTCCCGACGTCCCGACAATTCGGTTTGTAGTTTTCAGTGAACTACCACTAGCTTCATTGAAGCCTCCTGTCAGAATATCTGCTTGCTCACACATCCCGTACAGCAAGCAGATATTCTGACAGGTCTGCAGGAGACCTGCATGGCATCAGCAATCTACTGATCACTGGTACAATGCTTTCCAGGCTCCTGCAGACAAAAACAATAAATGCACATTTTTTTACCTGGAAAAAAAATGTGAATTTATTATTTCTGTCAAAAAGGTGAGCTTATCCTTTAAAGAGCTGTACCAGCAGAAAAGTGTCATTAGGGCTTTAGTGAATTCCTCCAAGTGTCATTGAGCAGGGAAGGCTGAAGACATCTTATGGGGAAAAAGAGGTACTGTAGGGACAGCTCCAGATTGAAGATGAATATTGCAGCTTGAGCTGTTTTCTCATTTTATTTGTTGGCAAGGGGATATTTAAAAAAAATATGTTCATTGTTGCGTATAAGGAATAGAGACTGTTCACTAGTGTCTAAAGCAGATTTTCTAAACCTTTTTTATCCTGGTGGAACCCATGAAATAGTTGAAATGGCAGGGAACACCTGCTAAAAATAAATATACCTACAGTTCACAGTGCATTAACATGATCAGTATATTGTAGGACATTGTAAAAATATAATAAATATTAAAAATTAAGGTATAACTAGCATATTTCTGCCCCCCCCTACTCTGCACAACAAAATTTTTACTAATAATCTTGAAGTTAAATGAATAATAATATCAGAAAGGTAGACAGTAATTTTTGTGGTGTTCCCTAACATTAGTGGTCAGTGTCAAAGTGGCCCCTTGCATTGGTGGTCAGTGTAGATAGGAGATCAATTCGCTTTTGCTCACTCTTCAAGAAACCCAAAGCAACCTCAGGAGGAGTTCTAGAGTACCATAGAACCCTGATTGGAAAAGGCTAGCCTATAGTGAAGTTGTGTTCAAATCAATCATCCAATCACTTGCAAACAATCCTGCATCTCTTAAGTTCTCTAGCACTTGATTGGGTATTTAATGTGAATAAAGTGTAAGCTTATTCGCTGTGAATGTTTCTTTGGCCTAGGTTCACATTAGTGATGCTGCATAATCATGCATTTCTCAGTGCGTTTTTGTAGCATGCTTTACATGCGTTGTTTATTTGTTATTATTTATTTAAGGTACTTATATAGCACCATCAATTTATGCAGCGCTTTACATATATATATTGTACATTCACATCAGTCCCTAACCCTCAAGGGGTGTAAAATCTAAGGTCCCTAACTTACATACAGACATACTAGGGCCATATTTCATGTGTTTTTTTGTAGGAAGACACTGGCTATCAAACACAAAACCCTGCCAAAAATGCACCAAAAAATGCATATACATGCATTTTTCTTCTGCTTTTCATGTGCTCCCATTAAAGTATATATATATAAAGTAAAGTATATAGGCCAAAAACCCTCTATGCCTCACCACAAGAAGCACCTGTACATTTTCATAAAACACAACACACCATGTTGTATTGATGTGAATGGGCATCCAAAAAACTGTGATTTCCATTGTCATGCCTTGCAGTGCTACAGCAAAAAAAAAAAAAAGGAGAAATCACACTAGTGTGAATGGGGCTTTTGTAAGGGCTCATTCATGCCCTCAGCGCTGAGCCACTTTTCTCAGTGCACTTACATGTAAGATCAGGCAAAGGCCACTGTTTTAAATGGCCCATTTAACACTGCATCTGCTGAAAAAAATGGGATAGATTATATTTTGTCGCAGTCAAGTCATTTTATTGAAGTCAAAAAATAAAAAAGTTAAAAAGCATTGCAGCACATCATAATAAAATGCCTTTTAAAACTGCCCATTTACTTGTGCTTAGATCCTTTATCATTTTATATGAAAGGATACTGTGACATTGTCTAACAGTACAAGCTTGGATGTGCTTTCCTTTGCTTTGGGCAAGAATATTATATTACTTACTGACAGGGAAGTGCCCAAAATCAGTAATATGCTCTGCAGCTTTTTTGGGGAGGGGTGATCAGGGGAATCTAACTACAAGTCCCAGATATAAGAAATCATAAGACCAAGCAAAATCCATGGGCTGTCATCTGCAGGTGTGCAAAATGATATAATGCTCACTGTATGCTCAGTCGGCTTGGCCTACATTTTCCAGCAAGTACTGTTAACCCGTTCACCACACTTGTGCAAATAGCAAACCAACAAAAATGTCTGTAATTGAAGTTCACATTTCCTTTTCAGCAATAAGCACCCTCTCTTCTGTTTCCTCAATTCAGCAACATAGGGTCACTAGGGTGTTCTCTGCAAAAGCAACATGTTTGCAGAAGTAACGCACAGACATGAGTCATATACTGAAAGTATGTCACTGAATCTTTATAGCTGAAATCCCACAATAAAAAAGACAATATTGCTTTTATTCCATGCTGTTAACATGAATTTCTTTGGTAGACGTTTGGTGTGTTTTTACTCATTGAAATGAATTCTTCCCCTGTCCTGTCCTTTCTGTTCTGCAGAGCACCAGTACCTCCTGAGTATCCAGACCATGCCCTGGTGACCTCTAGAACTGTAGAAAGTATCTGAATCTCTTTTGTGTGTAACTTACACACTATCTTTATCCACCAAGAAATGTCCTTTACCCTTTATTGACAAGACTGCTGCTGTCAAGGAGTGCTGTGATAACATGAAGAGAGTAAAGTCAGAAAAAGGCTTTAAGTTAAAGCCCAACTGAACTTGCAGTTTAAATGGACAAAATACACCCCAAATGCTTTAATTAAGGGTGATCAAAGCCTTAGCATTTGTTTGCTTTAGAAATCAGTGACATCCTGAGTTCTGCTAGCATGTTGCACAGTGGACATTTCTTCAAGGAAGCAGTGATCTCTTTGCAGAGGTCCGACATGCTTCCATCTGAGTCCGAAGAAGAGCTCTCCAATCAGCAGGGTGCATGAGCTTTCTTGGTTGCAGACAGGGGCGGAATGACCATTTGGAAACTTAGGCACTGACCGAGGGTCCGGGGTAAGTAGGGGGCCCCATGAGATGCCCCTAGTACCTTTTTCATAGACTTTTTTGAGTTTGGGCAAGGACACAGGGGCCCCATGATCCCCTATTGCCCGGGGGGGCCCCATGAGTTGTCAGTCCACCCCTGGTTGCAGAGCTATTGGTCTGATGCCTGGTACACACAGTAAGTTTTTTCTCTTGTTCAATCCAGCAGGCTGAACAAAATAAACTGAGGAGGTCTCTGTACTAACTATGTGATGTTAGTACAGCTATCTTTCCACTATGCTATTGTTTTCTGACAGGGAGACCCCACCTTCTGGCCAGAACACAGCGGCCAGCACTCGCTGAGATTGCTGATCGGATGCCAATCGGTAGCTGGTTTTTGCAGCATGCTCGTTTGACAGAAGCCGGTCATGGGATCGGCTTCTGTCAGGCAAAGACCTGTACACACAGTCCAAATGTGGGCTGGTTTCTACTGTACTGACTATATTCGGCCCGAGTGTATAGGGCATGACTCAGTAGGGGGGCATGTCAGACCACTGCAATAAGACCACACAGAGAGCAAGGGTCCCACTCCTCAACTACAAACTGTTTTTTTCTAGTATGGCTGTCTTTGCAATAAAAATGCATGAAAATTGATCCAACAGCTCAAATCAAACCTCATTTCAGGCATCTTAATTCAATCTCACTGCTAGTCCAACTGTGTCCATGGCATTTGGAAGGGGGGAAGAAGGGGGATGTGATTGCTTCGACATGCACTGGCTTTTTTTCAATACTTTATATCAGGGGTCCCCAGACTTTCTAAACAAGGACTGGTTTATTATTCTTCAGATTTTAGAGGGGCCAGAATGTTGCCAGTAGGAGTAGAAAATGTCCTGGCATTAATAACAGTGCCTCATCAATGGAGGACTAGTACACCATCACTGGTGTCAGTCGGAGGAATAGTGCCCCATCATTGATGTCAGTAGAAGGAATAGTGCTCCATCATTGGCTTCAGTGGGAGGAATAGAGCCTCACTGTAAGTGTCAGTGCCAGGAATTATGCCCATTTGTTAATGTCTGTGGGAGGAATAGTGCCCAACCATTGGTGTTAGTGGGAGCAATATTGCCCCATCATTGGTGTCAGTGGGAGGAATAGTACCCCATCATTGGTATCAGTGGGAGGAATAGTACCCCATCATTGGATTCAGAGGGAGGAATAGTGCCTCACTATTGGTGTCAATGACACAAATTATGCCTCATTGTTAATGTCTCTAGGAGGAATTGTGCACCAAGGGCTGGATAAAGTCAAGCAAAGGGCCGCATCCAGCCCTAGGCCACAGTTTGGAGACCACTGCTCTATATGAATAAAAATTGTCACCCAAAAACTTTACACCTACTGTATGTTCACTTTTATGACTATCAGAGAGGCAACAGTCAAAGAATAGAACAAGGTCAAGTCTACACTGTTCATTCACTGTTCGCCATACCCCTTTGAAGGGGAACTCATTCTGGGTTAAATCCAAACCTACCAACGTCCCTCATCAACCAGTTCAGTTCAGAACTATCACACACACACACCAGCTTTGTAATAAAAATTACATTAAACACTTTAACACAGAAGAAGGAGCACTGTGAATGCTTCAACAAAGGCCTGGATTGTTTCTTAGATACACAGAATATAACTGGATACTAACATTTATAGGTAAGGTTGATCCAGGGAATATCCGATTGCCTCTCGCGGGATCAGGAAGGAATTCTTTTCCCTGCAGGAGCAATTGGATCTTGCTTTGCTAGGTTTTTTTTTGCCTCCCTCTGGATCAACTGTGGGTGTAGGATTATAACTTTTTTTTTTCTATGGTTGAACTGGATGGACTTTTGTCTTTTTTCATCCAGACTAACTATGTAACTATGTAAATTTAGGGTGTCATAGGCTTGCCTCCTGAGGGGTATTACAACGGAACCCTTAATTCACAATGCATGAGTGTAGAAAGTGGCACTGGCATTGTCATGTCTGAATCAGTAAGAACTGCCCAACCAGGAGAAAAGGCAAACAGGACCCTGAGGCATCACATGCACAATCTGATGACTTTGAAATAAATAAGTATAAAGAAAATAACAAATATAACAAATATGCTGGGGACCTTAAAGGAAGGAAAGGGGGGGGGGTATGGCCTAGAGGCCGTGTGCAGCTCGGAGCTCGGCTGTCGGTGAAATCAATTAGGGTGATGTGAAACTTGCTTCTGGCATCCAATCGTATACAGGAGCATTTTAAATTGAGGCACTGCAACAACTAATTGAAGAAAATGTCAATTTACTTTACAAACCAGGAAAATATAAATACATGTTGTAGTTCCTTTTTTTTTTTTAAACATAGTGTTAAGCAATAAAACATTATTATGTGTGTGCTTGTCTGTAATATGAAAATATTATTTGTTTCCATGGTTTTTTTCTAGTGATCATCTGAGTCATATACCATGAGCGGTGAAGAGACTGTTCTCCCTTAGGCACTTCCACTCCCTTCTGGAATGTACCTAAACCAGCAATAGTTTTACCTGTAACTTAATCGACATGTTCTGTAGACATGTGGTTAGTGCATGCAGAGGACACCACCATGAGTCACAGGGCACCACAATGATTTAATCTGACTTCCTTTAATATATGATAAGGCTAACCACGTTTTAAAAGCTTAAAAGCTCAACTGGAAAAATTGTGTTTCCCTGCATTTTTAGTCCACTATTGTTTTCTTCAGACAAAGAAATGTAAAAAAAAAAAGCGTGAAATTGTTTTACCCACATAGAATTCACTTTTTTTTTTTTTTAACCCTTTAGCTTTTAAATAGTAACACAGTGGGGTTGATTTTTTAATGGAATAAATGGAAGCTGTTCAGTTTACTTTGCAAAGTGGATGTTAGTAAGTACGCTGTTCACTTTGAATACTTAAAGTGATATTAAACCTTCACTTTTAAAAAAAAACAACAAACATGTTATACTTACCTGCTCTGTGCAATGGTTTTACACAGAGCGACCCTGATCTCCTCCTCTGGGGTCCCCTGCCGCCACTCCTGGCTCCTCCCCCCAAGCCACTTGCCAAGGGGAGTACTCGTGCGGGCTCCATAGACACAGACAACCTTCTTCGTTGTCATAGGATTTGATTGAGAACAGCAGAAGCCATGATCAATCTGCCCTGTAAGGATAGAGAGAGCGGCTGGCTGTAGATCGGGCTCAGGTACATATGGAGGCTGGGGTGGATCCTAATTACAAAAGCTTTTTTATCTTCATGCAGAGAATGCCACGTTAATCTTTTAGTGAAATATAAATCAGTATCCTAAAATAAATCTAGAATAAACTATGATATAATGAACACCCTTTTGTAATGACACTTCAAAGTCCCACTTTCACCCTTGAAAGTCCAAAATTATAAGAATTAAACCTTTTTAGTGTGAGTGAAAAATTCTTTCAAAACTCCAAAAATTAAAAAATTTTAAAATTATTCATCCAAGTTCTGATTCATTATCACCGTGTACCTCCAAAAAAAAAACAAAATAGTGTATTATCCTTAATAAACAGTGATAAAATCATATATATGCAATTGAATCCAAAAAAAAACCTTTTTTGTGCAAATAACCCCTTATGAGAAGTCAGGAAGTGACGAAATGCACGAGAACCAGAGATAGCGGAGCGGCCATTTTAAGTGAGGGTACAATACATCTCAGAGTTCCAGGAATCTGCTCAAGGTGGAGTAATGGGAATATAAGCAGTTTAAATCATTTTAAATGTAAGCTTAACTATTAAAGTCTGGATCTTTTTGAATATCAAATATTCTACACTATATGGCTATCATTTCTTGCATCTATGAATGACATGGAGAGAAAGAAGGCATGAAAAGAAAGAAGGAGTAACTTGTGGATCTGAAGGCAATCCTATGGGATGTTTTCTAATGGAGAATCTACTGAATTACTATCTTTGGAGGGTTTTATAACACTGATTTAGGGTAAGGGTATGTTATTCAGCCACTTAGATGTGTTCACAGAGTGTTCACAAAGGAATGTATATATAGAAGTGTGCACAGATTGTGTCACTATTTCACGTGTTTTTCACGTTAATCATGTACAAGGAAAATCTAAAAAACAGGATTTTTTCTCACATCAATTGGGTATTAGGTAGAGCTTCCCTTTTCTAACATTCCCTTTTCTAGGTAAATACCCTCTACTTCTATTGTAATTCAGCCTCAGTAATATTATTATACAATCACGGAGCAGATGTATTATACATCACGGCAGCCAATCACAGGTCAGCACTGAGCAATGCTTGTTACTATGGATTAAAGCCCCACTCTGGGAAATCTGAAAATTCTCCCTTGCAGTGGGACTGCATCCACATTGCAAGGGTTAACTGCTCATATTGATCTAGGGGAGAGTAGAAGTATTTCTACTTACCTGATCCTCTGCTTCCCAGATGAGGATCCCTTGCTTCCCCTTAGTTTCCCCACAACCGGCTAATGGACCATGCATCAGTCTTGAAAACTTCAAAACTTTATAGTGTTCTATGCATGAAGGAAAAAACCTTCAGTGTGCAGCTCCCCCCTCAGCCCCCCTAATACTTAACTGAACCTGATCACAATCCAGTGATGTGCACAAGAGAAGCAGCTCTCCTGGGTCTCTTCCTCCTCATTGGCTGAGATACAGCAGCAAGAGCAATTGGCTCCTACTGCTGTCAATAACAGCTGATGAGGGAGGGAAGGGGTGCAGGGCCAAGCAGTGCTCTGTATGTCTTATGAACTTACAGAGCTGGCTCAAGAGCGAGCATGCACAAGTGAAAAAGGCAGCTTGCTATGGGGGCACTCAGCAGGGGGGAGGGGTCAGGAGCACCAGTGGGGGAGACATGAAGAGGAGGAGCGGGGGCTGCTTTGTACAAAATCATTGCATAAAGCAGGTAAGTATGACATATTTGTTATTTTAATTAAAAAAACAAGCTTTCCAACCACTTTTAACCACTGGACCATATGGGAGAATATGCTACTGGGAGCTGTATAGCAGCACAGAGTGGTGGAGGATTAGGTAAGTAAACCTACTTTTCTCTGTCCCCTAGAAATAAACAAGCAGTTTAACTTTGCAGTGTGGGCACAGCCCCAGTGCAAGGGGTCATTTTTATCGGCCTGGAGTTGGACTTCAAAGAACCTCATTACAAAGCGA